AGCATAGATTTATATTAAAGAAGTTGTCAGATTACATGGTGTGCCAAAAATAATCATATCGGATCGGGATGGCTAGTTTACCTCCAGACTTTGAAGAGAAATTCAACAATGATTGGGTACGAAATTACATTTCAGTACGGCTTTTCATCTGCAGACTGATAGATGGTCTGAGAGGACTATTAAGGTACTTGAAGATCTTTTGAGATTGTGTTTTAAATTTTGGGGGTAGTTGGGAATATCATATCCTGTTGATTGAATTTGCATATAATAACAGTTATCAATCAAGCGTTGGTATGGCACCTTACGAAACTCTATATGGCAGAAAATGTATAACTCACTTGACTTTAACTGAGATGGGAGATAGACAAGTGATGGGTTCAGCTTTTATGGATGATACTGTGATAAAAATCAATCTGATTAAAGGAATGTTGAAATCTGCGCAAGATAGACAGGAGAAATATTTCAATCAGAAGCACAGATTGGTTGAATTTAAGGTTGGTGAGTTTGTATATGTCAAAGTCAGTCCGATTAAATGTGTTAGCAAGTTTGGAAAAGTGAGCAAGCTCAGTCCAAGGTATGTCGGACCTTTTGAGATTATTGAAAGGATTGGTAATTCTGCTTATAGGTTGTTATTGTCTGATCAGATATCAGATGTACATAATGTGTTTCACGTATCTTCTTTGAGAAAATAGATATCTGACTCTAGAAAGAGATTGTTTGCTGATGATGTTGAGGTTCAAACAAATTTACAGTACAAAGAAGAACCTGAAAGAATTTTGGCTTATAATGTGAGAAAGTTGAGAAGCAAACAGATTCATATGGTTAAGATTCAGTGGAAGTTCACAATAGCCAGAGAGGCTACTTGGGAGAAGGAATCTGATATGATGCAGTTATATCCAGGTATGTTTTGACTCAGTTTTACTTTGGGAATGTCGATGACGATAATTTTTTTAAGGTGGGTAGATTGTGAAATCCTTAAATTTTTTTAAGTTATATTTGGAAAAAAAAAATTTTTGCAGTTAGTCTGTACGAACCGTCTGTACGAATTTAACATGGTGCAGTTAGTCTATACAAACCGTATGTACGAACTGAACAAGGTGCATGTTTGTCTGTACGAACTAAACAAATTTTTTTGACAGAGCCCATCGTCCTGGAATGAAAATCAAATATCGTCCGTACAAACATGGTCTAAGGACATGACAGAGCCCATCGTCCCGGGACGAATGTAAATTTTTGTCTAGACGATCGTAAATATCTTTTTAAGTACAGTTGGATTTGTTTTCAAGAGAGAGAGAGAGGAGAGAGAGAAAGAGAAGAAACAAGGAAGAAAAAACGAATTTTGGGCGTCTTCGATCCGTTTTCGTTCGATGACGCAGTTGGAAAAGTTGATCAACTCGAGGCAAGACACATTATGCCTGTCTCAATTTTCATATATGTAAGTTTTGATGAATATTCCGATTAAAGTTTTGTTTCCGTTAACGAAAAACGGGTATAATTTTGCACCGGTAAAATTTTTACCGCATAACTTTTGGTATGTTGTAGAGATTATGATTTTTCCCATTTTGAATATTTTCTAAAAATTTTTCACCAGGTATTTTGAAATATGTGGGATTTTTAACGAATAGAAAATTATTGGGATGTTGAAAAATGTTTCTTCAGTACAATAAGAGCTTTGAAATGTTGTTTTATATGATCTCTAGTAATTTAAAAATTTTCTAAAACTGTGAATTTTGATCCATTGGATTTCTGTTGTATGTCGTTATACATTCTGACGATATTTTGATATATGACTGATTTCTCTGAATCTCAAATGATTTGATATTTGATATGATTTGATTTGAATGATGTCAGATGGGAGTTACAAGGGGCCAGAATCATTTGATATTCTGTCTGTGTAAGGAAAGGGAGGCATAAGCGTCCAGAATCCTTTAAGATTCTGTCTGGGTCTGGGAATATGAAAATGAATTCTGATCTGATAATTCTATATACCTGATATATTCTGGTGTTGTAAGCACAAAGGGAGACGGGCCAGGATCCTTGGAGATTCTGTCTGTGTCGGGGAAGGGAGGCATAAGGGGCCAAAATTCTTTAAGATTCTGTCTGGGTCAGGGATATGTGAATTGAAATGTGATTTGAAATCTGATATGAAATGTGATCTGAAATGTGATTTGAACAATTCTGTTATATGAATTCAGTTCAGTTCTTCTGTATCTGTTATTTGATTCCGTCTGATTATTCGATTTATGTATGATATTTTAAATTCTGTCTAATTATATAATTTTTATGAGAATATCTGAATTTTGTTTGATTCTCTGAATTTTGTATGAATAACTGAATTAAAAATGGTTTGTTATGTATTATATCTTGAGATTTCAGTTCAGTGATTAATTGATTTAAAATAAACTGTTTTTAAAGCTTCTTTGAATTATTTTGGAATGAGAGAATCTGAGAATTTAGATCGGTTAGTGTGATCTTGCTAATCTGTTAGCTCTCTGTGCTTATCTTTATGGTTTTCAGGTTCTGGGAAAGGGAATAAAATTTTAAACTAATCGTTTAGGATCTGATCTGAAGTTATAGGTATTCTTGTACTTTTAATTTTTGTACAGTCATGGCTGGTTTATTGTTCTGTTCTGTACTTTATGTTTATAGCCATGTTCTGTAATGAATATGATTATTTTGAAGAATGAGAAGAAAGAAAATTATGGATGAGTTTTCTGTATATTTGGATGTTTGTAAAATCTCTATGGTTCTGTATTTCATTATGTATTGGAAGAAAAATCTGAAAACAAATTACAGAACTAGATTCTGGGGTTATCCGTCACGACTCAACGCGATGGGATCTGTCCCGGTCGGGTTGGGTCGTGACAACTGCCCCTTGGCGAGGTTCGACGTGTTCGTAAGTTATTTTTATGGAAAGATACCGAGCGGTACCTAGCGGTACCGAGCATGTACTAAGGGGTACCGAGCGGGTATCTAACAGTATCGAGCTTGTACAGAGCATGTACCTGCTCGATACCGAGCATGTACCTGACGGTACCGAGCATGTACATACTCGATACCGAGTAGTATCGAGCGGGTACCGAGCATGCACCTAGCTTTTTTTTATTAGTGGACGCCTCTCAACCATAAGGCGAGGCACGCCTTGAGGCCTCAGTAAACTTGAGGCGTACGTCTCAAATTCTGAACTCATTGTGTGGGCATTGAGGCTTAAATGGACAAAAGTTGCGCTGTGGCGCGCCTCTCATTGTGCATTTTTTAAACCATGGTCATCGTTTTTAGCTCTAATGTCATATACTTTTGATGACATAGCTGCACTTTAGCTGAACTTTAGCTGCCATTTTGCTACCCTTTAGTTACCCTTTTACTGCTCTTAAGCTGCCCTTTTATTGCTCTTTAACCGCACTTTAGCTGCATTTTAGTTTCATTTTAGCTGAGTTGCACTTTAGATGCGCTTTAATTGCACTTTAGCTGCGCTTTAGTTGCACTTAAGCTGCGTTTTAGCTGAGCTGCACTTTAGTTACACTTTAGCTGAGTTGCACTTAAGCTGCTCTTTAGTTGCACTTTAACTGCTTTTTTTGCTCATTCATTAGTTTATGAATATTTATTCTTTAATGTTCACGAAATCATTAACATTGATAAAGATTACTCTATGCATAAATAATTTTATACATATTCGTTCTTATTCATACAAAATAACTAAAATAAACTGAAATATATGTTGTCATAAGCTTAATAAAGATGAAGCGCAATAATAAAATATTTACTAATTCTTACAACCTTATTTGGGTATCTCATCTCGTTAGGAATTTATTCTCCTAGATTTTGTCTTCCTTTTCTCTTGTATATAATCTCAATTGCATTCTTTCTCATTCAATAAAATCATTTCCTTTCCTTCTAAGTCCTCTTCTTTAATGTTTTCTGCTACCACTTCAGCCTTAAATCTGTTTCTAACTACCATCAGCAAATAACAGTACTTCCCCTATTGTTTCTTGAATTTGTATCAATTAAAAGCAATAGCCTTACTTGGATAAATAACAAACTACACATGGTTTCAGCCAAATAAAGTATTCAACCACTAACTAAAACATTTGCCTAAATTATCTTACCTTAATTTGCTGAAAAATATTTACGGAATTCTTCCCATAGCATTCCACGGCATGCAGATCCTTTGCACCCTAACTCATCTGATGGAAAATGGAAGAAGAATACTAATACTGCATAACTTAGGAAAATTCTAGCCCACTATAGGATTAATGCCTTTTATTCAGATTACTTTATATTATAATCTCTAGTGTTCTTCTCACGGAAAGCAGCATCAAGCTCCAGAGGATCAGGATGTTGGAAGGATTAAAGAGAAATGCTATAGTGCTTTTATATATATATATATATATATATAATATTAACAAATCCACTAACCCATTCTCCAATATCAGCCGTGGGATTAAAGATCATCCGCTGCATGTCTTTTTAAGTGAAATAAGTGGACAGTTGTAGTGGAAATTGTTACAGTACATTTAATAAACAATCTGCTATAATAGACTAGGGCTGATTAAAGACATTAATTTTCCTACTGTTTTGATTTGTTAAACCACTTAATTCATATTTATAGGCTTGTAATTTATGTGCACTTGTAGATGTTAAAATGCTCTAAATAAAAAAAAAAAAGGTACGCTCACATAGCTGAAAATTTTAGGTATTATAGCTTGCAACTCACTATGACTGCTTGGATAGTCTAACCATAAGCAACGAACCAAAAGACTGGCAAACTATGATCTGCTAATTCATTATTGATTAGTTTATAAACATGAAGAGCAACAGATAGTCCTGTCAATAAATTAGTATAACCTATCAAGAGACCATAAAACAATTGCTAGACTTTCTAGACAAAGGTAACCCAGTCAAATTACTACAGGCTATAAAGGAGTTGCTCATGAGAAGCACCAACGATATACAATAATACTTCCAAATTCAAAGCAAAGTGATTTGGGCAGAAGCATTACAAATTGTATGAGTGAAGTGCCTCTCTAAGAGATGCCAAGTTTCCAGATGGCACGTAATGAGTTCCAAGGCCAACATATAATGCTTCAGCAGGAGATGAAATTCTTTTACCAGTCATTGCAAGGTAACTGCCTGCATCAAAGCCAAGCACATGTTGCTTTAGAAAATAAACAAACAAACAAACAAACAAAACAAAACAAAAACAAAAAAAAAACCACCCACAGGAAGTACTGCTCAGTGCTCACTGTCACACTTAATTATAAGCAATCTCTATTCATAAGGATGCCTCTTCTTTCCCATTTTGTAACGCAGTCAGTCCAAAAATGCTCTTGCTATGACACGATAATAATAGCTCTTCTAATACAACATGAGATGAGTATTTATCAATACAAGCCAGCATGCAGCATGAAAATGCAAGCAATCTTTGACTGAAATAACAAATGCATAAAATCATTGGAAACTTTTAGTGCCGTTGGGATCTAACAAGAAACCATTGCATTGTATCCAGGACAAAATGATCACACAAGTGTGGGCCCAGCTTTAGCTTTTTCCAAGCATGATTTTTTACGGCATGCTGCTCGCATGGACCAGGTGCTTTCAGACATGGCCTGCCACCTCAAATGCACCATTACGTCTCCAAGGGACAAAAATAATAATAATAAATTTAAACAATTCTAAAGGTTACATAATTATTTAGGCTTGATATTATGAATTTTCTTCAGCAACCATACATGGGAATGGTTTCTAACTCACTACAAGCTTATGACCAGCATGAGGTATCTGTAGCCAATGTCCTCTACAGACAGGAACAAATAAAACCATCTCCTGCCTGTTCTAGCAAGCCCAAGCAACACAAAATATTGCAATTTTAAGTTTTTTTTTAATTGTATTGAACGTTTTATTAATATGTGATAGTACTTGATAGGATATTAAAAGAAAACTTGCCACTTCATGACTTGATATACAAGTACATGTAAAGATAGCCTTGTCTACCATTAAAGAAACACAATGAGCACACAATTTATACAGCACCTCTCTGATGTGATAAGTCATCACAATGTCAAAGGGTGTGATAAGCACGAATGAAAACAGCACGCCTTACCCTGTGGGTCTGTTTGTTAACAATTAATACCACATAAATCAAAGGCAATACCATTAACTATGAGAACTAAATTGATAGTGAATTTAAAAAGAATACAAGCTAGTTCTTTCTGTTAAAATAGGGATAAACTTGTTGCCAAGAGCATTATTATAAATACTAAAAGTTAGTTCTTTGTGCTTTAATAGTGAAAAGCATTGTGCTAAGACAATTAATACAATTCCTGCAAGTAAGACAGTTCATGCTCATATTTTAATTTCTATATAGATGAGTTAGATTATTGCTTTATTGTTAACCTACACATGAAATTTACTTGTTGATTTAGTCATGCACGGTGACAACATAAACATAAATGAAGCTAATAGGACCATAACTCGTTATTGTCTAAGTGACAACATGATGATAACAATTTTCTATGCCCAAATCCTACATGCGTTAGGATTCAGGAGTGGAGTTGACATGGTCTGCATTCTAACAGTTGCCCATATAGTTAAAGAACAACTGTAAAACTTGATTGGTCATCTGTAATCCACAATTTTTCAGCCCGATCCACCACAAGCCATAGGAATAAGGCTTGTTTCCCAAACATTTTTATGTGACAGAAGAATGGTCATAAATGTAATACCCAAAATTTTCAGCTCAAAATATAAATTTTCTTAATTAAATTATACCCGAAAAAATCAACTATGTTTGGCCCTTCAGTTTCCCCTTTGTGGCCCTTCGGTTTCTCCTTTGTGGCTCTTCGATTCCTCCCCTTGGCTCCTTCCCATGGCTGGTTGTTTCCCTGCCTGGCTGCCTGTTCTGGTTCCCCTTGTGGCTGCCTATTCTGATTCCCCTTGGCTATCTATTTCGGTTCCCTGGGCTGCCCGTTATTTCCCCTTTAGCTGCCTGTTCTGGTTCCCTGTGGTGCCCGTTCCTGTCTCCCATGGCTACCTTTCCGGTTTCCTGTGTGGCTCTTCGGATGCTGCTCCTGGAAAGCCCCTTGGCCTTCTATTTTCACTTGTTTTGATTAGTTAGGTTGGGGGAAATTTGAGCTGTTTGGCTGCCCCTTTTCTCCTATAAATATAAGGTGTTTTGACAATAAAAAGAATGTGTTATGGAGAGATTTTGGAATACAAAAACATTAGGGTTTTTTCTTCTTTGGAAAAGCTTGCGAGCTTGTTCCTTTCTTCTTCTTCCTTCTTGGGAAAGCTTGCGAGCTTGTCTTCTCTTCCGTGTCGGGCATCTTACTTCTTTCTTCTCTATGCAAGTTCGGCGCCATTTGTATCTTTCTTCTTAAGCGATGGAATGCAAGTTTAGGTGCTTTTATATTAAGTTTGTAAGTGTCGTATTTCTATTATAAAAGTTAAGCGTGTTTGTGTTTTATTTTGTGTATTTTCTTATTTTTCTAAGAAGTCATTAGTATGCTTGCAAAATTAGGGTTTTCCTAATTTTCTTGCTTGCATTAATTTGGTATAAGAGCTTAGATTAGTATATCCTAGGTTTTTGTGACTTCTTTTATTTTAAGTCAAGATGGATAAACATCTACTGGAAAGCAGTCAAGAAAGAAAGCCAAATGAACTTGAAGAATCTATTTCTCAAAGTCAATGGATCTCACCACAAGAAATTTCTTCGGACCCGATACAGATCAAGCTTCTCAAGGTTCAAGAGCAGCTACGTTCAAGTGCCAAAAGATTTGAAGCTAAGAAGCTTCAACTCCTATCTGAGTTTGAACGAGAAAAGGAAATCATCAAACGAAAATATGACATTCTAATTCAGGAATCAGAAATGCCTGATCTTCATAATTTTGAAACAAATTCATCAGGATATGAGTATTTTCATTCGGAGTAGAATTTGATGTGGGGGGGGGGTCATCCCCCCTATGTTTGGCCCTTCGGTTTTCCCTTTGTGGCCCTTCGGTTCCTCCCCTTGGCTCCTTCCCGTGGCTAGTTCTTTCCCTGCCTGGCTACCTGTTTCGGTTCCCCTTGTGGCTGTCTGTTATGATTCCCCTTAGCTATCTGTTTCAATTCCCTGGGGTGCCCGTTCCTTCCCCCTTGGATGCATGTTCTGGTTCCCTGTGGTGCCCATTCCCGTCTCTCATGGATGCCTTTCCGGTTCCCTGTGTGGCTATTTGGGTGCTAATCCTGGACAGACCCTTGGTCTTCTATTTTTCCTTGTTTTGATTAGTTAAGTTGGAGGAAATTTGGATTGTTTGGTTGCCCCTTTTCTGCTATAAATAAAAGGTGTTTTGATGATAAAAAGAGTGTGTTATGGAGAGATTTTTGGAATACAAAACCTGAGGGTTTTTTCTTCTTTGGAAAAGCTTGTGAGCATGTTCCATTCTTCTTCTTCCTTCTTGGGAAAGCTTGCGAGCTTGTCATCTCTTTCGTCTCGGGCTTCTTACCTCTTTCTTCTCTCAGCAAGTTCGACGTCATTTGTATCTTTCTTCTCAAGCGATGGAATACAAGTTTATGTGTTTTTATGTTAAGTTTGTAAGCGTCATATTTCTATTATAAAAGTTAAGCGTGTTTGTGTCTTATTTTGTGTATTTTCTTATTTTTATGTTAAGTCTTTAGTATGCTTGCAAAATTAGGGTTTTCCTAATTTTCTTGCTTGCATCATATAATAAAAGCTAGAATTTCAAAAAGCTATCCATGCAACGGCTGATATAATGAACATACGCTGATTCAACAATTAGAGGGCTGGTAATTTGAGTGGTGTGAGTTTAAGAGGGTTATAGCTTTATTATTTTTCCATTCAATATTTCCTCAGCCTAAAGCATTGCTTGAGGGTTCTATTGGGTGAAAGTAGGAGTTCGACTAAGGCTGGAGCGATGAAATGCCGAGAGGTTGAGGTGATAAATTCGGTGGAAGAAGAAGATGAAGAAGGGAGTAGGGAAAAGGGAGATTTAGGGGAGAAGTAAAAGAGGAAAGAGTTCTTTTTTTTTTTTGTATTATAGATTTCCAATTATAATTAAAATTTCTAATCTAGATTATACCAAATTGTTATTTATGATTTTAATTGATATATGAAAAGGGGATGTTTTGAGGTAAAAATTTATTATTTTGGGATAAATGTGGGCTCCAAAAATTCGGCCCCGGCCTCGTCGCTTTTCTTTTTATTCGGCGAGGGAGTTTTAACTAAGTTCCGAGGTAAATTTTGGAAGGCAGATGGGTTTATAGATAAGATACTACCCAGAGATTTCGCCCTCATTTTGCGAGGACTTTATGATCTGAGTTCTGGTTTCCTATAGGCACAAGTCCCTATAGTTAATTACCCCTCCCGATCACGAGAGAGAACTTTCGATTAAGGCTAGTCATCGATCAGATACGTAGAGATACGTGTTATCTGGCATATAGTAGCAGTATGGGTATGGAATGGTTGGAGAATTTGGGAATTTGGAGGATTGAAACATTTGGAGATTTGATATTTAAAATTAGAAATTGCACCATCGTGCAATTAAAGCGGATGATAGGGAAATGGATGATGGACCCGATCAAGATCCCATGGTTCCGTCATCCCGAGCCATCGTGGTCTCTGGTTAGTCAAAGGAGGTAGTCGACCCAACCTGACAGAAGGATCCTTGTCGGCAGCCATGGGTTGCTTCGTCCAAGGGTACCTTGTAAACCTGGGATGGATATTTGCCTAAGGGGACAAATTTGAATCCACCTTAGCTAACAGAGGGCTTTGTGCCCTATCAATCATAGACTATTGATTCATATCTCAATGATTTGATGCTAATAAGGAACGTAGCGCTGGCTATAACTGGTATTTCGTGGTGCCATTTGGCAGCAAAAACCACTCGGTTCAGAGGGCCCCGGGTCATAACCGTTTACCTGCAGTGCCATTTGGCGACAAAACTGCCAGTTAGAGGACACGTACCACGTCCTTACTGGCAGGAGATTGTTTTAGAATAGATCCTAGTGATATTTTCGACTAGGCATTTGGCTCTTTATGAGCTGAAGTAAATTTTAATTTGTCCACCTCAGCAAACTGTTGCGAAGGGTGGATAGGCTTTACTTTAAGTGTTGGGATGGATAGTTTCATTTTTAAA